TTTTTATTACAAAATAAATTGTTTTATAAGTTGATGGTATTTCATTTTATGTTATTATATTTGAACTAGTTTCAACTACGGTCCAATACAGTTTAATATAGTAATTTCACAAAAGCCTTGCTTCTCTATTTGCTAGTATTTGGCTCTTTGATACATTTTGCGGCAAAGAGCTTCCATAGAGACGATGTTCTCTGTGGCAAACACTAAATATCTGTTGCAACATATTCCATAGATCTCTCAAAGCCTTTAATGAAATGTTATAATAATGGCGATATTGTCAAACGCGATATTTGAATTGTATTGCATTTTGCATAATTCAATGATATTTGATTAAACTGCCGTGCTACGTAAATAATAAATAAATAATAATATAGGCTTTATATCTATTCATTGTGTAATATTGTAAATTAATATTAATGTTAAATTTCAATTTTTTATGTACTAAATATTAAATTTTAACATATTCCATTTTACTTAAAATATTAATATATTCATTAGATTAGGTAGAGAATATTAATTAATTATAAATTGCATTTACTGTTTAATAATCTCAATCTTTTATTATAAAAATTCTCTCTAATTGTAAGCTCTTATTAATGTAAATACTATCATAACTAAAATTGCAGCTTAATAATTAATTATTACTTTAAAAAAATGGATATTATATTTAAAAATTGAATTTATTTAAAACTTTGCATATTTAGACATTATATTTAAAAATTGAAATTTATTTAAAACTTTGTATGTATTATAGCAAAACGTTTTTGCTTTCTTTTTTATCCGCGTGAATTTATTTTCCCTGTCATATGGATTAAAGGCAATTCGAGGCAATATTTATTTCTACACGTCATTCGCGCGCGGGCTATAGCGAAGCTTTATATCCAGTAATTATATTCGTGAATTAAATGTATTCACACTGCATTTGTTCCGTCGAAACGCGCTATAATGTGGAGGACATGATGCGTAAAAATTTTCGTTTAATTGCAATACTCCAATTTAGTGAATATTCCAGTTTAGTGAAAGAGTAAAGTTTATGTCTTTCATCAATTCGAGTATATAACATGCCTGCAATTTAAGATAAAATCGCAATACACAAAAATTTTGGCACCTGTTTAAAAGGAAATAAATTTTATCGATATGATATGAGTACAGTAGTACAATAATATCGCAAATCATATTAGTAAGATACGCAATATTATGCTTTTATAATATGAACGTAAAATATTTGTTCTTTTTTTGTGAGATACTTTATAATACGGTACGCTATTATCCAGATTAGTTGGAATCAGGATTTTGGTTTCGACATTATGTATGTCGTATCATTGTACGTATACAATTTTATTATATTATACAATATCACAAAGAATATGTAATTACGTACTTTTTTTGACAATGTTATTAAAAACAAATGTGAATACATAATATTCTTGGGAAACACGATTATTTACACCTATTCATACGAAATCATTATTGATGTTACGTGCATTTTAATCGAAGAGAAATTTCCATCAATGTGTAAAAGATATATTGCAAATATATAAAAAATTGTTCCAAATTATTCACATGCAACGTACATTTTTAAAAAAATCATAATTAAGAGATATCATTTCTAAAATACTTATTGTGCTTCAATAACGTCGATAGTCGAATTATGCCCGAAAGCGCAAGGGGAATACAGTTTCATGCGGCATGATTAGCGGTCCGACACATTGTCGTACCAACAATGCGCTAATGACGTCGTAAACGGTCCGTCGGTCAAACAACACATGCCGAAATGTCGGTTAATTACGATCGCCTGCATTTCATACCGACGTCGAATTCGCGGCCTGCAAAAACAATGATTCGTCACACGCGATGCGCTTTATCTAGAAAACGAGAAATGAAAGCAGCACGGGCTGCATTGTAGTTGGAAATCACTTTAAAGGGTCAAAAGGAGAATATATATATTATCATATATATTATATATATTATCATTTATGTATATATATATATATATAATATATATATGTAAATGGCCATGTCCATCGTTACTTAGAATAAATGTTCCCGTATGCTTATGATTTTACGGAAAAAGGGAAAAAAGAAATTCGTATAAACTATTTCTCCGACTATTTTTCCGCAAAATACGCGTTCTTATGAATTTTACGTCTTTGCATAACGGCGGTTGTGAGCAATCAACTTGATGGAGATGTAAATTGTATCAAGCAACGGCGAGTTCAATAGAGACGCTGAATATATCGACTGCTGTACTTATGTGTGTCTATGGGGCACATTCAATGTCTATTGACAGAATATCGAGCATGACCTATATACATTGACTGTGCGTCTGACCACCATTTATTCCATATAAATGACGAGACCTTCGGCTGAGACGTACTTCTCGTCATATAATAATTTACAAAGATGCCATCGCGTTTAATTACGAGCATTCAGAAAATTTCCGCAGCACTGTATTAAAAATGCAAATTATTTATGCACTCAATCATATTCAATGGTCATATTAAATCTCATTAATATTTGCAAAATGTAATACCCATACACATATGTGCACGCATATATGTAGATACAGACATATAACATGTACAGATAATATGTAAATAGAATCGAACCGAATAGCATTATATGACGATAACATCGCCACCTTATCGTTGAATGGATTACACTGCTCAGTTGGGATAACAAGCAGATTAATTTCATTGATTACCCGATTCATTATCCGGTGTTAATCGCAATTTGAGATTGGCATTATGTAAGGTTATTATACTTGTGTCGGTATTAACCATGTATCCCGGCATAATATTTGCGCGATCCGTCATTAATAAACCGCACAAACCTTCAACCTATTCATGTGATCAACGAAAATTGTATATTATAATTAGCAATATTACCACTAATTATACAAAAATTTAAATCGATATACTGTAACGAGCGAGATTTATTGAAAAATTTATTCACACTTTTATTACTTGCAAAATGTTTGTCTAAAATTAAAAGTTTGTTAAATAAATCACGGGAACTCACTGTTTGCTCCTACTCGGAAGCTGCATTATTTTTTTTTTTTTTTTTTTTTTTTTTTTGTAATCGCAGAATTATTCAAACTTTTGCGTTACATTGTATAAATTTTTCAAATATTTAAACGTTATCAAAATTTTTCACCGATAAAAAGTTAATTTGGGCAATTATTCATTTGATTTTCAAATCACTTACACACGTTTTTCTTTTTAATTTTTCAAATTATTCTTATAAATTCCGTTTTGAATGTTTCAGGTTCAGTCATTACGACATAGAATATTCGGCGAATTCGTCAAAAACGCATCTGATAATACCCAAGGTTCGGCTAGAAGACGAGGGTCTCTACAAGTGCGAAGCCACATATCTTGCGGTCAACCGCGAGTGCAACAACGTGCAGCACATTATCCTTAACATCACGGGTAAGCTGCATTACATTATGCAACGCTACCAGATTAACATTTTCGGAGTAAATTTACATTTTTATCAAATTGGACATGATTAATATTGAAATTTATACTCCTACAAATATGTAGAAGATACCGAGGCATGTGATAGCATGAATCCTCCCGGCATTTTATACAGAGTAGAAAGATTTTACGGATAATTCATATAGAGAGAGTAATACCGAAAGATTTATTAAATCTATTTCAAGAAAACTTTTCGCGCAACGTTGTCGTAAATCACATCCGATATTTTTAACCGTACGATCTGTTTATGTAATTTTTATAATACCCTAAAAATATTATGACAATTACATTGTCAGAAACGTAGTTGCAAATAGCTTACATTGTCAACAAGGTAATAGGAATCATCCTTTCATATCGCGCATTTGGAAATCTGTTTACCTTATTTTTATTACACCATATTGCTCTCCTCGTGTTATTATCCGGTAAATTTGACGCGATATTTCTCGAAAATAACATCGTGTGACAGATTACAATCCATTTACGCCTCTGGCATATCATATGATACGTGGAAATATATTTACACTGCACTGCAGTAGGGTGAAAACAGCATGTGCAAATCGGGACATTGCGCAAAGTTCGCGTTCAATAAATCAGGCAATGTTTATTTCACACTGACGGTTATACGTGATCGTTCTCGCCAATATTTCAATTTTACACGATACCTTCGAACGATGGACAACTCGTTACAGATGGCCCTTTTACGGGATTGGCAAGCAACGATGTGTTTCGTCTCAATATACTTTCGTATTTCGAAGATAGAAGTGTCATTTACATTTTGCGGTCACTTTGCGGCCAAACACAAATAACTCTCGCAATTCAAGCTCTTCTTTTCATTGTATGAACAACGATTATTCGAGGTAAAACAAAATGCGCTTCTAATATTAGAAGAAAAATAATTAAATGCACAGATGGTGCTTGAAATATTTTATCAACTTTATGCTTCAAAATATCTACTTATCTACGGTGTAATTTTTTTTCGACTCGTAAAGAGTTCTCGTAGTTTCAAATGTTTTTCTACGATTATCCGCATTAAGTCAGTTTGAAACACGCGAGATCGAAAAGTATAAAAGAGCACACACCGTCGTATCCACCAAGTAGTTAACTTCCATGGAAGCTGAGTAACCACAGTTTGCGATCTGGGTTAAAGCCACATAAAATTATACATCGATAGCTCAAGTTAGACCCGATGACTTCCTAACTCGACGAAGAGTTAATATCGACAAGTTGGGAACAAAGTTAGACCCTCTCGTCGGCGTATAATCTCACGTACTCGGGATAAGTGGACTCATTTGGTTTAACATTCTTGATTTAACGTTTATATTAATGTTGTAAACGCATTATCTTACATATCCGTTTAACAGCTAAATAGCCATCATTGACGCGCAATATTATGTAATCAGGTTAATGCGTCGTAATCACTATGGTCGCGGTTTACCTCTCTGCTAGCTTATCTCATATTAAATCTGTATGAAACTGAGATTCTTGGGAATTAAGGAACGTGTTGGAGGAATTTAAGGAAAACGTGCAATTACAGAAATGTTCAAATATTTAATATGCATACAATATGTATGTCTTTTACGCGAGGAAAATTTTCCATGTGAAAATTTATTAAGATTTAAATATTAATTTAAAAATTTGGAGGCAAGTAAAGTATAGAGAAAATATAAAGAAAGTAAGAGGTAAGTAAAGTGCACATTTTACATATTTTTACCTGAGATAATAACAAATAGAGTCAGTGATAAAAAAAAATATTCTAATTTGTAACAAATGCACCTTATTAAAAAGGGATATAAAAAAATATGAATGTAAAAAATATTATTTTTGTCGAATATTTTTCAAGATTCCTCTCTCGTAATTACCAGAAAGGACATTAGCGTCGGAAAGAGCATTAGTGGTTCCTAATTATTCTGCGGGAGTTATAGGGTTAATTGCGCTATTAAGTAACTCCCTAATAAGACTTCCATTTAAATTTTCGATAAGGAAAGATCCCTTCCAAATTCATCAGAGAAAATCTTCCTTCTACCAACCACGAGCTTTTCCGAGATATTCTCTGTTTAAGTGTTTTTGTATATAGTTATTCTATATTATCTCGGGTTATCTTCCTCCCTCTTTGCAAGTTTATGAAGAATGAGACAATTCCTCTGGAGCAGTTTATTCAGTAAATGTAGCGATTTTCAGCGAGCCGTCATCGCGACGTGAATAGAATGTGTACGTTACCTATTGTACAATATATGCCCGAGATTCCGGCTACTGATCTGTCTTCTTCGCTGTCGTGTACCATGCCTCGTGATATCATGGCGAGTTAAACGAGTAAGGTGGAGAAGTTTTCAAGTATAATCGCGACGTAGTACTTATATACACACGCGCGCGTAAGCTTTATTCGGGAACTTTCATTCCCCATTATGAAAGATGATATTCTTCTCCAAGTTTCACACGTAAGAGTGTCTTGGCAGTGCCATTAATTCTTATATAGAACTACTTAAAAAGATAAATTCCTGCACTTTTTCTAAAATTTCTCAATTTGCGCAATGGAAATTAAGCAAAATTGCAGCTCCCATTTGTCGATTGTCATTTTATATTTTTCATTATTTATTGTTGTCATTGTTACATTATTGTTTACATAATAACGACGATTGCAAAAATATTCGAATAAGAGAAACAGATGGTAGATTTCTTCGAAGAAAAGAACAAAAAGAGCTTCATCGTCAATTCTCATCACGAAAATTTTTAAATAAGAACGTTTCTTTCGTACGATCGTGTCCGGAGATTCTCCAAACTTTTTATCGTTTTGATTGCATAGCCAATTGAAACGCGAAAGAACTTGGGAAAAGTTGCTCTTGATGCATAAGTGATTGCGACCTCAATTTGTCGAACTTAAACCGCTGCCTTGCGAGTTTATACTTATATTGAGCTGCTCTCCTGCAAGGACGTGCGTTGAATTCTGTCACGGAATGTAACATCGCTGCGTTTTCGGATATTTTAGGACAAAATAAAGCGCTCTGATATCTCGGATATTACACACAAGAGATATGCATTATCTCTTTCAATAAACATTGCAAGTTAAAAAGAACGTACATATTTTTCAAACAAAACTAGTCTTGAAGAACATTACGTTTTGATTACTCTCTCTCTTTGTCTCTTTTTCAAGCTTACTTTATTTTAATAAAACACTTGAGACTCGATTAATATTTAAAGATGAAATAATAAGACCAGAAAACAGATGGCATCTAAATAAGTTCTCGTTAAAAGAAAAAAATCGTAAATTCATCTAAAAGTTATTTGGTTAAGCCGCTCATAAATTCTCGTTTATTTAATTGGGTATGATTGTCAATTCAGCAGTTTAAAATTGATGAATAATTTTAATAACCGTTTCTTAGTTTTTTTCGCAGGGCAATTGTTTTGCATTATGACTTTATGATCTCATTGTCAGTTACGTAATAGAAGAAAGAAAAATAAAAAAAAAAGTTAAAATTAGAAAAATACGTAACATTATTTTTCTTTAAACATAATTTCTCACAACCATAACTATATCTTGTGCAAAATAGAGATAAAGCTGCACAGAAAGAGAACTATTTTAATTAATGACAGTAATAATACACAATTTATTGGCTCTAAATATACAACTATGAAATAAATAAATACAGATAAATAAAATGTGAAATAAATGGACATACATTTTTTGTAAAAATTTCATAAGTAAAAACTAGGATGTTACTACATTTTTGTTATTTTTAAAAGGAAGCTAGAGAAATGAAGAAAAGAATGTAAAATATGTTGGAAATAAATGTAAGATGTTGTAAAATAGTTTTATTAGAAAAATATAAGAAGCTTGAGTAAATGTATATTATTATGTATGTATTGTATATTATATATAATCAATATAATTTATATATCAATGTGAAAGATGTCTCTCAAATTTGAAAGTGATAAAAGCAATGATAAAAATAAAAGTGTTTGTTTACAAAAAGAAATTAATATGATCCACGGCGGAGTCCCAATCCATCTTAATTCTCGAAAATTGATATTTACGAGCGACTAAATAGCGCCAATTTTGATAAAATACGGGATATACGTCGTAGCTATTATAACGCAGCGAGGTAGAGCGACGATGTAAAAGTAGCTTGCGAGCTTTCCTGCGACAGGCGTCGACATTAATCTACATAGAGGAGCACAGGACGAAGCTGCGCGTACGAAACGATATCGCATAATTACATCCGTACGTGTATTCACATGCGCAACGCCGGGGATTATCCCAACACTTCATTTCAACTAGAAACATTACTCAGCAGATTTATCATTAAATAGATAATGTTAGGAACACACACGTTAGCAAGACTAGCACAAAAATAACGATTTTCAGAATCGATCATTTTTTTAACATCATCAATACAAATTTTATGAAAAATTAAATTATTTTATTATATTCAGCAAAATGGAAAATTTTATATTATAAGCGTAAAAATCATTATATTATTATATTACAAAAACTGGTGCAGGAAAGCGCAGAAAAATAAAAGCGATCTTAATAAAAATAAAAATTAGTATAACTTTTTGAGAAACGACAAATATACATATAAAGAGAATTATAGCACCGAGATTAGACAGTGAGCTGAGAAATATTATACAATATATACTAAACTCAAAGTTTCAACTCGCTGTTTATTCTTTCGTCTGAAAAGATACGAATGATTGCGATATTTCCCTCTGAAGCATCGTCGAACCCGAGCGTTGCGAATACTCAGATTCAAAGTCGACGAACGTATCTCCGAAAGTCATATTAAAGTCACCTTCGTAAATTCCATGAGATGTAAAACGTCCGGTTTCTCGTTTCGTTAAATTACACAATTTCCTTTCTAGTTGATTCTCTTTTTCGTTTGCATCGGAATCTATTATAGTAAAATCGAAAAGAATGTTGTAATTGTTCTGTATTTTTACGCAATGCGCTGTCGCTA